TATAATTAGTAACAAGAACAATTGCTTGTTCATTTTCATCTTTCTCACAATTAAGTATGAGTCATCGAGTTTTTTGGAAACGTTGCTATTGTTGGACGATTGCCACTATCATTTGTCTCCATAGACAAATTGTCAAACTGTGTTGCTGTTCATGATATTGCCTAAACAAAACCAAATAAAATCTCTTAGAAAGAATTAAATTTTATCAATGATGCTGGACTTTTAGTACCTATTCTAACATTGCTACCTTTCACGGAAACTAAATCTTGATAAAAAAAAACAGCAGAACAAGTTTTTGAAAATAATCTAATAAAATTAACTTACCTTGCTTAGAAGATTATGCTGTTCAACCAAGATGACGGCGTGATTGAGCATATCTTCTTAAACACATGCTATCTACAGATCAAAATAAATTTATCAATTCATCTTCTTGTCGACACAAATGGTCCTTTCGCTTTTTTTCGAAAATGATTCTGATGACATATATGTGAGCGTCCTAACTGAGACCATGTTCAACGTCGGATTGGTCTATGTGAACCTTACATCTGAAATTGGAAGCGTTCAATTTCAGATCGAGAAGAGAGCTGGATGAATGACAGATGAGCTCTCGACATTTGAGTCTGACATAAACAAGAGATTAAAAAAATACAGCAAAATAATTTTATTTGAATCAATTCAATTAACAACATAAATTGATCAAGAAATTCATATTTGACAGATTTCTTTAGTTTTGAGTGTGACTATGGGTGCTCGTTTTCTCTTGATTCATACCTACATCCTTCTGAACGTTGTTATCGAGCTAGGAAGGTAACTTTAGTTTCTTATGCATTCTCCTTGATAAGATACTTCATCTGTTTCTGGTCATATTTCAGCACGAGAAAATCCATAAATGTATAAATCTATCAAGATTTGACAATAGAACAGCATGCGAGCATGATAATGGTTAAACAATTACAAGCTAAACTTGTGAAACTAACAAAACCTGCAAACTATGAACTTTTGAATGAGCAATTACAACAACTAGTTACTTCTTTTCGTTTGATAGCAAGAGCTCTGCTCAACTTTTAATATGAATTGTTATTTATTCAATAAAATTATTTTCTCGTACTTTGGAATTTCTTATTTATATCAAGCTCAAAAGTCTGGAACTTTAATGTAGGAAGCTCATCTGTCGATGTACCGAGAAACTGATGTTAGAACTCAACCTAGTGTGTAGATTGATGTTGTATTCAGATACTTATCAATGAATTAGCAAGGAGCAATTATGTTTCAATTATTTACAATCATTATTGAATAAATTAAACAACGATTTGAGCATTTATGAATAGTTTTCTATTGAAGTAGTTTATGTGTATAAAACCACCCATAACTTTACGATTTCAAACTTATTTTATCAATGGACGATTTCATCAATTGAAATGCCAGTGATATCTATCAATTTATTAATGAGTACCCGAATGCAATACCGAACTGCGAATTGGTTCAAGCTTTTATATCAATCTCCTGCTCAATATTAATTTGAATACTAGCATTTATTTTTTTTTTTGCAATGATGCTCTTCTTACTTAAACAATAGTGAGAATCAAATTTGTATGTACTAGTTTGAAATTAGAGAAATATAAAAACGAATGCTAATATTTTAGATTTTATTATTGTTTATGCAAACAAGACAAAAAATTTTATTGACTTGAAGACACATTTTTATCTTTGTTGATTCTTCTACACATTGGAAATGAAACATTTCATAAATAAAAGACAAATAAAAATAGATTGAAGCGCGTGTATATTTTTAACCATGAAATTATTACGGTAAAGAGGATATTCCAAAAAGATTTCTTAACCAATTGAAAAATGAATTCCAAGAATAGATATATATCTATATACATAAAAGAAAACTCATCACGTTCTAAAAAAAAAACTAACGATGTGATGTCATATGACGTGTTAAATGATGACGTTCTCGAAATGTTTCATAGCAAATATGACAAGTAAGATTCATAGATGATGTTGAATTTGTAAATGTTTTTCTTGTTGTTGTTGTTGTTGTTTCTGTAGATATTTGATGATGATGATAATTACGTCGTGTTGCATGATGAACACGAATATGATGAACTAATTCACTTGTAAGACGAAATTGTATTGAACATTTAGCACACCAATTTGATGCATTCGCTAATGCTGCTGTTGATGATGATTGTGATAGATGATGTAAAGCCATTAACCATGGATTAACTGATGATATTGATGTTGTTATAGGTGTTTGACAAATTTTTGATGATTCATTCGTCGATTGAAGAACATTAGCAATACCAAATGGTAATGATGTTGATTCAGATCGAAATACTTTTGTTGATAATTGTCGTGTTTGATTTGAATCATCGTCTAAAATATCAACAATCTAATTAAAGATATTCTCTTTTCAAAATTATGATTATTATTATTTTTAACTTTTAATTAAATAAAATACAAGTCATTCATCTGAATTAGTATTCGTCTTCATATTTATAAAGATTTTCAAAGATGATTTACATTTAGAAATCTTACAAAAATATAATTAAACAAAAATAATTGGCTATTTTATATAACATTTATATGCATATGTAAACATAAGAATCAATTTATAATAATTGTTCTATATGGAATTTTCTACTAAAATAAAGTAAACTAATCCAGATTGTAAGTGTTTTATTCAATGTTTAACCGACAAGATTGCTAAGTGTTTTTCATAAAGATCTCATTTCCATAATAGAAATAAGAAAAAAAAATAATGTTTTCGTACATGTTTATATTTCTATGTGAACAATTAAAAAAAGTTTTTTTTTTCTTAATGTCCTTGAAAATCTCACCTTGTTTTCTTTTATTATTTGTCATTAATGTTGTCTGATCATGATCGTCGTTGTTAATATTTTTCTCAATCGTTTCCATCGAATTCAATAATCTTGTCAATCTGCGCGCTCTCTGTATTAGTGATGATGTACCCTATGTTGCTAGTTGTATTACTGATGCGTAAAAAACAGCTCGCCTTGCCAACCAAATCGGCATAGATGAAGAGAAGAAGGAATAAAAAAAAATGTGTCTTCTCTCTATCTCTTTATCGTCTTCTCCCAATGGGACTCATCAATAATGATGATGATGATGATGATCGCAACAGTCCGTTTAGTAATCTGTTCTTCTTCTCGTTCACTCAAGTCTAATGCAATCACTGTGTAGAGAGAGAATTCCCTGTCGTTGACTGCAAGAGCAATCACATGAGAATAATTACTAAGACACACACACAACAATCAGCTTTTACAAGACTAAAAAACGGCATATGATTGAACCGATCGACCATCGTGCGTATATTCATTTTCCACGAGTAGTCCTTTGGGAAATTGTTTTCAAGAATAGCTAAGCAATCAATGTCAAGTTGTTTTGTACACATAGAATTAAACAGATATTTTTTTTTATTATTAATATTTAGTTCTGATTAATGTTTAATGAGAAAATATTTCGATTTTTCATTATTTCAAAATACAAATTTTGAAAAACATTTTAAAAAATTATTTGCTTTTTTGTTGAAAACTTCAATTCAAAAAATTCAATTTTCATCAGTCAAACTTTTATATTTTGTTGTTTTTTTTTCAAGTAATGAACAATATAATACGAGATGAAATATATTTTCATGAATAAGAAGACATATCAATTTTGATAAGTAAAGATAAAGACTTACACTCGAAAAAATTTCGTATCATAAGAAACTCAAAACAAGACTGTCGAAATATTTTTGTGTTGGACAGCTTTGAGACATAATAATATGCAGAAATTCTTTTTTTAGATTTCTTACAATACAGATTTCTTGTTTTTTTTTTCTGCAAATTTAGTTTAATAAACAATAATGATTTCTACTTCATTATTTATCAATGTTTTATGTATTCATAGAAAATTCGTTTTTCAAATAAATAAGACTGCATAATGAAATAATTATAAAAAATTGCTAATATTCTAAAAAAATAATTTCTTTTTATAGATCTTTATTCTGATTTTGGAGTGAATGTAAAAACATTCGTTTTCTCTTCATTTTATTTTAACAAAACAACGAGAGAAAATCACAAAAGTTCTTCTTCTATTTGATGTTATCTACTGTTTTGTTTATTTATTCATTGTCCACATTAGCAGTGAGTAATCCTAAATAAGAAAACAAAAGCTTTAAAAATTGAATAGAAGAAAAACATCAAGACCAAACCTTTAAATGAAGGTACTCGAACAAATGTAACCAATGTATAAAGTTTATGTGGTGAATCTTCATCTTCATTACGTTGTCGAGCTAAACGAACTCGAACACGATAAGGAACATGACTAAATGAAAATAATAGAAAGTTTAACATAGAAAAAATTATTAAGAATAAACTAACTTGATTCCTTGTGACCAAACTTCCTTATTTAATTTTGAATCTATACGAACATCAGGTGTTTTCATCATTTTTTCAGCAAATTTTTTTAATTCTTTAACTGCACGTGGTGCTCGTTTCTTGAAAGCTCTATTTCATGCATAAATTAAAGAATAAATATTCATAAAAATAAAAAGATAAAGTTAACTTACACGCCATGCAATCGTTTATGTAAATTGACCGTATATTCACGAGTAACAACTTCATTTGTTATTTGTTTTTTGCTACTGCCAGTTTCACCTTTTTTACCTTTTTTATTGGCCATTTTGAAGATCAGTTGTTTTTATAATCTAAAATAAATTTCCTTCGTCCATATTATCAATAAATAAAAATCGTTTTAATTTAGATGGATTCTTTTTGTCTTTCCAACAAATAAATCAAATAAATATAGAAAGAAAAATACAAATTAGGAATAAAAAATAGAAGCAAAACTTTTTAGATCGACTACGCTGATAAAATAATTCGGAAATTAATAAATAAATAAATATATATATATATATATACATTGAAAAACACAAAACTTGCGCAGTTTTAATATCACAGAACACAAGAAAATAACGTCCATTATTTTTCTTATCTTCTGTTGGGATTGCCACTTAATAAGTAATTCCGATCGTTATTAACTGAATTTGCTGAAGTATCAAGTGCCAAAACAACATCTCTACTAAAATAAAATAAAATTGTATAACAATTAAATATTTAAAATATGCTGAACGGTTTTTTTATTATATAAAGATTTTCCTACATAAAAATTCCTTTCATGATGTATATGATTTTTTTCAAACTTCGTTGAAGCTTACTACTTTCATTCATACCATAACAATCTCTACTTCTATCAAAATTGAAACTCTTTTCAAAATATGTAAAATAAAACAAGAAATTTTCTTATTATCAAAGTCACTCTCGATTCAATGATGATATATAGATTATTATTTTTCCGTCCGTTAGTACTATCATTCAATCGTATTACGTACGTTGGATTTCTAGATTGTTCTTGTAAATCTTCAAGTAGCATACTATTTATTTGATAATGAACTCCATCACCTTGTCTATTTAATCAAAAATTCAAATTGAAATTTCAATAAATAAAAAAAAAAAGAACAAACAAAATTCTAAAATTACGTTGTATATATTGGTATTAATGCTTCCAAAAGATTAGATCCAAATATTTCTTGAATATTTTCTTTCCATCCTAAATCAAAACCATCTTTTTGAGGACCATTTGCAAATATTGGTGCTCGATGGGATTCTAATGAAAAAAAAAATTCATAATATAATATTTATTTAGAAAAAAATTCAAAATAAAATATTTACCCACTGTTGTTCGATTTTTTACAATTAAAAATATATGATAAAAATATAATGATGATACACTTATAGCAAAGACAATTGCAATAAAAAAAAGAAAAAGTATATGATATTTTCCACTTCTTGATATTGGACTAGTTTCATGCTTAATTCAAAAAATATAATCATTCAAATTTATTATATATATATATATATTTTTTTTTTCTTTGTAAAAAAAAACATACTTTGTCCAAATTGGTCATACTCTAAATCAAACAAAAACAAAAAGCAAAAATTTAATATCGAATTTTAAAAAACTGAAAAATATTTTTTAACCTGCCAAGATAAAATAAAATATTGAAGGGATGTAGCCGCAACATAAATACAAAAAATTAATGCCCAACCAAGAAATAAAATAAAAAATTTATAATTTCCATATGAAATACAACTATTTGTCCTTAAAATAAAAATGAATTCTTTTTTTTTTCTTTTTATTTCATTTAAATCGAAGTTTTTTCTTTTTTACCATGGACAATGATGATCATATCGAAGAACACATTTTTCACATACTGAACAATGATGAGCTCGATCAGGTTTTATACATTTACATATCGAACAATAACGAATACCTTTGAAGAAAATTGTTTTTTTTTTACTTATCTCAATCAATTAATATCAATTTCATACTTCCATCAAACTGCCGTGTTAATAATGGTAAATTTGCTTCACGAGAAAGGCGAATAAGACTAGCACGTCTTTCACTAACTGTTTGTGCTGCGATAATATGTTCACCTTCAATTTCACTTATATAAAACTAAGAATAAGAAAAAAATAGTTTTGTTTTAATATTAAATTTGAAATAATATTTACTTGTCTAGGTGGTCCAACTAAAGATGTAAATACTGTTCGATAATAAGACCATAAAAGAAGAATAAATAATACATGATAAATACATAGATAAATCACTAAACATAAACATTATCGTTTTTCAAATAAACAATCTTTAGTAAAAAAAACAAAAAGTTTTGACACAAAATTATTGTTCATTTTTCAGTGACTGAAAGACAACTGATTAAAGTTTCTTAGAATCAAAATTTTTCACTATTTCCAAACATATGTTCAAATTTACTAAAGAACTAGTTTCTATATCAATTAAAAATTATTTCACATTTTGAATTCAATAGATTTCATTTGAATTATAAAATTCATCAAAACAGTCTTGTGTACAACTACTATATTGAAATAATTTGATAACAATAGCTCAATCTTACGCTAGAAAAAAAAATTCTACATACTGATTCCAAAAAAGTGAAAAAGTTTGATTCTAACGAAAATATTTCTAGCTCTAATCAACTGTCTTTAAGTAACCAAAAAATGAGTGAATATTTTATGCAAACATTCTCGTAACATAATTTAAGACAATAAAAAAAATAATAAGTTTTTTTTTTACCTTTCTTAGGTATATTGTCAATAGTCACTAAATTATTGAAAATCATATTTTTAAAAATATATTTTAAATAAAACTTACAAATACACATTTGTACAACATAAGCATAATAAGACCATCCAACAATTCCAAGAATAAAAAAGACCGGAATCCATTTTAATATTTCACAACAACACGTACTTGGCGTTGGAATAGTCATTGTAGAATCTAAATAATTGTTTGAATTTAAAATATGACTTTATTCGTTATGTTTTTATTTAAAATATTTTTAGACCAATAAGAGTGAATAAAACGCAGATAAGTGAATGAGAAATTGGTTTTAATAAAGAGCATAATAGATATAAAAATTCGAGCACTTACACAAGTTTTTAATTCTCGAGATGTACATAAAATATACGGATTGTAAATCTCGTTGGTCTTCACTTATTAATAAATCATTGGTAGACTACCATTTAAAATTACAGAGGAGAAATAAGAAAAATAATTGATCATTTTTTCTTACACATACAAACAACACAAAAGAAAATTATTCATTATTTATTAAACTTACTTGTTCACTATGTTGATTTGTTGAGAGAAGTGGTTCTAATATAAGATTTTCATTCTAATTTAAAATAAAATAAAATATACATATAAATTATTATAATAGATTTCTCTCTTCGATATATTCTACCTCAGAATGTACATCAGTGACAGTTGTTGTTGCAGAAAAATAATTGTTATTATATTTCATTGAATGTTAATATTTCATGCATCATAATCTGATTTCTTGTTCTTTTTTTTTCTTACTTGCTTTTTTTTTACTATTTAAGCAAGTACGCGTAAGTTAATCTAAATAGAAATTAATGAATAATAAGAAAAATAATTTAGAAATACAATGAACATCTATGTCAATTAGGGTAAACGAATTAATACAACAAATATTTATAAATAAAATAGGTATTCATTTAGATGGATTTATGCTATATTTTACCAAGTCTCACATATGAACTTCAGATTAAATAATATATTTTTGTTAAATTAATTTTAAGCAAAAATAAAATATTTTTATTTGAAGAAAAAAATAAGAAAAGAAAAAAAATAATAAAATATAATTAATGAAAAATATTTCATATTGATGTCACTAGGGAGAAATGATAATAATAACCATGTTTTTCATAATCAGATGAAATTGTTTTTGCTGATATGATTCATAGAAAAAACTTCCTCAGAAGAAATATTTTGTTTTTTGTCTTTTATTGTTAGTTTATACTTAAAGAAAAAAATATTCTTCAACAGTAATCATCGAAATACTTATAATGATAAAATGAAAATAACTCATCATAGATATATATATATCTATTATTTTTTTTCATTATTTATTCTTGGTCGATTTGACATTCGTTTACATGAGTATGCACAATTAAGTTTTGCTGTTGTTTGGCCTTGGTGTAATTATATATGATTATTATATTAGTTTATTTAAATATGAAATATTTATTTTAATTTGATAATAAATTAAATAATATTTTTAGATTATTTCAATAGATTTAACAAAATAAAAAAAAAACGAAATGTCTGAAGAAAAAATAAAAGTACAAACTAGTGATGGAGATGTTATTGAAGTTGATCTATTTGTTGCAAAACAATGGGAACCTGTTAAAAATATATATGAAGGTAGAATTATTCAAAGATATTCTATATATTTTTGTTGTTATTTTATCATTCCTCTTAAGTTTTGGACAGTAAAGACGTACACGAAAATCCTATTGAGTTAGCCAATGTTGGTACAGAAGTTTTAAAAAAAGTAAAAATATTTTTCGATTTTTATGTTTATAAATATATATAAAATTTTATTATAGATAATTGAATGGTCAATTCATCATAAAGATGATGAATTAACTTCAGGAAATAATTCACAAACAACTCGAAGATTTGTTGAAATTCCTAGCTGGGATAAAGATTTTTTCAACATTAAACAAGAAATGATTTTTGAAATTATTATGGTCTGTTGATTCATCTCAAAGATTTTGTTAGATTTTTTCTTTGTCTTTTTCAGGCTGCTAATTACTTAGGGATGACACTTTTACTTGATATGGCATGTAAAACAATAGCAGATATGATTAAAGGCAAAACACCAGAAGAAGTTCGACAAACATTTAATCTTCCAAATGATTTACCACCACCAAAAGTTTGTCTTTTTTTTTTTATTAATTGAGATTTTTAAACAAAAATATTTTTTTTTAATTTTATTAGACATTAGAAAACAAGTCGTGATCAAAACCAGTGATATATTGAAAAGAACTTTTATGTTTTTCATTGCTTTTTTTTTAACTTATTTTTCTTTTTATCATGATAATCATGACGTTTTCCAATTATTTTTTTAATTAACTAGAATTAAAATGTATTTTTAAATTATATACAATACCTGTTCATATACTAACATACTTAATAAATAATCAATAAGTGTTTTTTTTTAATACAATTTATGTCTATTGTGAACATAAATCGTGCAAGAATTTGATGTGAAGCATCGTTTACTTTTTAACATCAATCGATAATAACTTATTTCAATTGTTTACACAAGTTAATTTCCGATCAAAAATCTCAATGAAGTTTCAAAGTAAATGACAAAAATATTATTGACTCTATTTATTTCAGATTTAGTTTCTTTTTTTTTGACATACTGTCTTGAATTTCATATAGAAGATTTCTTTTCCATTAACAAATGCATTAGAAAAACTCTTGCCTTCAACTAAATGATAGATAGTTATTCTTTGTTTCTTTAAATGTCTATATGTCACATTTAAACAAATAATTTTATTTTTTTTATATAGCTTTATCGACGAATCTTTTTTATATTAAAATACTTATTGATATCTACTTCTTTTTTTTTGTTTCATTACTTTTATCAATAATTACTTTTTGATTTATGAATAGCGTAGAATGCAAAAGTAATGACATAAATATTGACTTCTGTGTTTTTTTTTCAATAGAAAGGTACTGTAAGAAATTTTTTTTTTAGTAGCAGATAAAGGTTTTTCTTTCTTTTTCGAATCATATTTAATTTGTTGTTGTCACACATGATTGAACTGATACAAAAGAAAAGAAAAGTACCATGAAAACGAATTCATACTTTTCATATTATTTAGAACTACAAGACAAGATGCTATTGTCTATTTCTCATGAGTAAATATATGTTGATATTATGTTTTTTATTAGTTGATCGTAAATTTTTTCTCCTTTCCTATTGAATATAACTTGATACTGTCATACCTTCATAAATAAAATGTCTCGAGACGAAAGCAGAACATTCGTTCGACAAGTCTGTAATATTCGTATTCAGCTACTAAAAAATAATCTTGCAAATCAACCAAAATATGAGTTTAAACTAACAGCAATTATACCAAAGGCTTTTACATAAATATTTGAATCAATAGAATAATAATATTGGTTCATCGTTGCATTTTTCCAGTTAATGTAGAATATTTGTTATCATCTACAATAGTCTAATAATTACGAAAAATCGTTTTATTTAACTTCCTACAGTTTTTTTCTAGCACTTTTTTTTACTTGAGCTTTATTGTCCATTTTCTCAAACGTTTTGAGATTTTCTAATAATAACCCATGTTCTTTTTCCTAAGTTACGACTGATAGTTGATTGATTAACGTTAAAGTTCTTCGCTAGTTTGTACTAATTGATACTACAAACTCGGTTCTTTGATTTATAATGAGAAATTTTTACTGAACGGAACACTTCTAGATAAATATTAAGTTTGTACATATTAGAAATATTTATTCAATATGTTATAAATTGTTGTTCTTGGAATATTTTGTATTAAAAAAGAATTAACTGTCGTTTTGAAAGATTGATTTAATGAATCTATATACATTTTTGTAAATTCGTTTGCGCAAGTGTTTCCCTTTCTTTTCATGTCATTTTCATTTATAAATTTCTACGAAAAAAATATCGAAATCAATAGAAGATGTTTACAATAATAAAAAAAAATTCATCTACCTATTTTAAGTAAAATAATTATATCCGAAGAAAAAGCAAACAGATATTATGATGAGTGAAGTTTTCTGAAATTTTTCAATTATTCTTCAACTAATACACTACTTCTTTTGTAAAACACAGTCTAAAAAGAAATGTTGAACTATATAGAGTAGAAATTTACACCTTCTCATCTCCTTTCATAGATCATAACAGCGGATGTTGATATATGATCAAAGATTGCATATCAATAACGTCTCATTTCTTGATTATATTTCTGGATAATTCAGTAAAAACATGTTGAATACATGTGTTCTAAAATAGAACAAATAAACTAATCTTTCTGTGATTAGTAATAGTCATGACATTGTGTTTCATATTTTTAATTTCGTAGAGATTGCATGAGCAGCTTTTCTTCATAGTAATCTACTCCTATTATTATGTTTTTTTTTGTCTTTTAATAAACTGACAACAAACAAAACTATTGCATATTAATTCCATGCCAGATAGAAACGACACTTTTTTTTTTATTGAAAACCTCTTTACTAATTATAATCAATGAGAGATTCATGGATGTTCGTTAAAGAGACGTAATAAAATATATTCTGACAGTCTTTATAGACTGTATTCGCTTATAATAGGAACTTTTCGACTGAAAAAACAAACATGAAACCAATAAGTGATTGTCATCAGTTACCTAAACGCGTCATGGATATAAAAGAATTATAACTAACTTTTACAAACTATAAATTAAAACTGTCTATTTTAGACATGTTTTATAAAGCGTCTATAACTAATTGCAGTGTTGAAATTCTCGACTTAACAATGCTAAGAAGTCTATATGATATTAATAACCAGTCATGATTAATTAAATACAAAAATTTATATAATTTAGTAAACTTAAACATTTGTATCGAAAAATTATTATTTTAAACGAATGTAAAGAATTGATTCGTAGATGTCACTGTTTACAAATATACCGGCACAAAAAGATTTAGTCTAATATTTTGTTTTTTTCTATAGATTTATTTTATGAATGTATATAATAAGGTTTTTTGGAATATTTTTTCGAGATTTTTCATCATTTATTTGATTATCTAAATTTGGATTGGATAAATCAAAGTTATCGGTACATTATCGTCCGTCACAACAAATCTTTGCGTTGGTATGTTGTAAGGTTCAAACATTGTTAACTATAATCCTGCATTAGTTATGCCCTTGAGTCATATTTTCGAACCAATGAATTCTTTGCGATAACTTTGATATCAAAAAAAATTCTAAATTTAGAATGACACATTATCTGTTCTGGACAAATTTCTATAAACACGTTTCAGAATGGAAATGTTTTTTGTATGTGCTGCTCTCTAGAACTTTCTCTTGAAGTTTTTCTTCGTAGAATAACAAGAATATATCGATATTTCTAATGAGTATAGAATAATTATGTTTTTTTTTAATTGTCAAGAATATTATGTAACAATTGCTATATTGATTCATTGGTTGAGGATTTCATATAGGTATCGCTATGTGAAATGCATTTCATAATGATTGTAAGAAAGAAACGTTGTTTAATTCTACTGAACAACAGTATAAGATGTTGTTTGTTTTATTTTCACTCATGGTTATGTACATTCTCCTTGATATTCCATAAGAATTAAAAAAAAACAATTTCAGACATTTTGAAAATAATTTAGATTTTTTTGTTTTTTAACTAAAGGACAAACAAAAAAAGAAAAATATTTTCATCATTAATATGAGTAAGTTAATAAACAAAAAAAAAAATTTTTTTTTCTTTTAGAAATCTTAATATTTTGTTTTGTTTTTTATTTTTTCTAGTAAATACAGATGATGACTCAAATAGAAATGTTCGTGAAGTAATTACTCTTGATATATCTAATAATGATGAATCAAATAATCGTCAACGACGTTCATCATCAACATCTTCACAAGATATTGAACCATTACCAAGACCAATAATAGCATCAAATAAACGTAAAAAAACAAAATCAAATAATAGTGATGAAGATAATAATAATAAAGAAGATTTAACACGAACAATAATACAAAATGATGCTGAAGTTTGTCCTATTTGTCTTGAAGAATGGACCAATTCTGGTCAACATAGACTTGTTGCAACTGAATGTGGTCATCTATTTGGCAAAATGTTAGTTAAAATTTTATTTTTTATTCATATATTAATATATAAATAATTTAGATGTATTGAAAAATGGCTTCGTACATCTCCTAAATGTCCTCAATGTCAATCAACAGTAAAAAAAAAAGATTTAAGAAGAATTTATTGTCGAGCACTTCATGTATTAGATACAAGTGAACGAGATAATGCTATTAGAGAACGTGATTTAGAAAAAAAAGCAAGAAAAAAAATTGCCTATGAAAAAGCTGAATTACAATTAGCTTATGATATTCTTAAAGATCAATTAAAACGTTTACAAAATGAACATGATAAATTATTAAAGTATATTTTGAAATTTTATTTTTCTTTTGTTTGTTTTTGTTTTTTTATTCTCCAATAGATTATCACACGGTTTAACTAATGTCAATGAAGCAATAGATGATTCTTCTCGGTCTTGTTTAGAACCAACAACAAATCTTGTACCTCCACCTTCGATTAATATACGATTAGAAGCAGTTATTAAAATACCAGAAGTAAAAAAAAACAAAAACGATATTTCCATGAAAATATTTTCTTTTTCTAAATTATGAGAATTTTTAGGGAATGTGTCGTGTTCTTGCTTATGCTCCATCACATCAATGGCTTTTTGTTAGTCAACCAACAAATAATAGTTTATATCCTGGATTTGGTATTAAAAAGGTTAGAACTAGTTTTTTTTTTTATTCTGCTAATCTCGTAATATTTTCTCTTCTTTCACTAACTATTGAGATTAAGAGAAATACGGTTCAAGAAATTTAATTTTCGCTAGATTTTTCCAAATTGTTTCAACCGAAAGAAGACTATATCTTTTCATTTATATTTCATCATAAAAAGATTTGTTGTTTCTCCAAGTGAAATCAACCATCGTTAAAGACTTCACTCATATTGTTGACTGTCTTAGATCGGTTCGAATTATTTCAATAAATTGAAAATATTTTTTTGAATGCTTTTAATAGAGCATCATCAATGTTTTTTAGTCGGCATATGAACATTAGTTCTTTTGCAAGTAACAAAAAATTCTCGTGATAAATGTATGAGTTTCGAGTTCCAATATAATCTAAATTATGTAATAACATGAATAAATACAATAGATATTATATCAACATAATATATAGTCACAGATAATTGTCTATCTTTATCTCATGTTGTTGAAGATATTATCACCAAAAAAAAATAAATTCTATTAAACATAAGTAAATTAACTGTTTGAATTTATTATAAATAAAAAAAAACTTTATTGAATAGATTAGTCTTATTGATGGTGGTCGTGCTCCAGAATATACAACACTTCGTCATACAAAACCAATTCGTGATATTCAATTACATGGTGATCTTTTATTATCTTGTGCTTGGGATAAAACAATGCGTATATTCGATTATACACGAAATACATTTAATCTTTTGTAAGTTAATGTTTGTTCTTTTTTTTGTCGTCTTATTATTATTTATTTTGTAAATTGAAAAGATGTGAATGTGCATCCCAAGTATGGAGTTGTACATGGAATCTTGATGATCCAAATATAATATATGCTGGATTAAATAGTGGTCGTGTACAAGTATTTGATCGACGACAAATTCAAACAGGTGAAACAACATTATCATCAAGTATTGAAACATTAAGTTTATCAACAACATCACCTATTGTTAGTCTTCAATATATACAGCGAAATTCAAATTTTCAATCAAGTGGATTACTTGTTGGAAGTAATGATAAAAGTGGATTTTATGAACATATACCAAATAGTGAATACCGATATCATGCATTACCTATTGACAGTAAATGATTTTTTTTATTTACTTTTTATTTTTATTTTTTGAAATTTAATTTATAGAAAATTTATCAAGTCTTCATTATGATTCAATAACAAATCGTTTATTAGCATCATTTCGTCCACAATCAAGTCCAGCACGACATGAATTATATGAATTAATAACACGACCTATTGAAAATTCTGAACAATCATTTATTGTTTCTTTACAATTAATTCAAACATTTATTGGTTCAAGTATTAATATTATTTTATCAAGATCTAAAATTCTTCATAAAAATTTTGAAACTTATATTGTTGCATCAGATAATGGATCACATGGTGTAAGTAATCAATATAAAATATTAATTCCTCATAGAAATTATATGTGAATTTCATATCTAGAAAATTTTATTTAAAAAATAGTTTTAAATGATTATTCATTTGTCATATAGCAATTATTCTTTTCTATTGATACTAGTAAATAAACTAATCGAATTCATACCTTGATTAATGAGTTTAACAAAACTCAACATAATGAGAAGTGTCATGATTACGGTTGAAACTAAGTGAAAAAACAATGAACTCCAATGTTTTATTTCGTGTGAGGATCGAGGAAGGAAACGATGCACATTTTTCTCTTCTTAGAGATTCTGTTCATTAGGAATGGAAAATCTGTTGACGCTTTCCATGCAGCACGTGGAAAAAGCTGAAAAATTTCCCGTTTTAAAACTGTTATGATATAACTCAGTTATATCTTATGTTTTGTTTTTTCTATTCTGCTATCATAGTACATAGATGGCACGTACGACATACATACATATTTGTTTTTTTTTTCTTTTCTTTTCTTTGCTTTCAGGTATTTTCTAAACATTTTCTCCTTTTATCATGTTTTTTGCCCAGTGTGTTTGATTTTTCTTGTTCATTGATGTATATGTAGTTGCTGTTTGAAAAATAATTTAGTTCAGTATTGATGTATCAGATCAATTATCCGTTATCAAAAACAATTCGATTTTTTCTTTAGAAAAACTGGAATTCTTCTTTTAAAGATTAAATTGCCCTTATGTAAATCAAGGTAACTTTTTTTCATTGAATGGCTTATTGCGTTTTTCAATCTGGTTCAAGTTTTCTCTCTTTTCTTGATTTTTTTTCAAAATTTCCCGAGAGGTCCGTTTATCCAAGCAGCGCTGCTGCAATATATGGATAGAATCCTTCACAGCTGCTGTTCATTTTTCCATAAATTCAAATTGTGTCTTGAGCTCTGTGAATCTAGATAAAAAATTGACAGACTTACAAGACTAAGATTTGTTGTCTGTGTTTTATTCAGATTTTTTTTCTTCCGGAAGGCCGAACATCTATTATTGAGAGTGCAGACACATTGCATATGCCACAACAATTACGAACTCACTTGGTCTTCGAAGAAGCGTTGTTAGAGAGTACTCTAACATACGTCTTATTTTTATTCTTCTCTTCAACTTGTGTGTGCACCATCGTTCGGATACACTCTTCCACTCTACATACGTTAGTCGATGGATATTTCTTTTCTTTCCTTATCGCCTCTTCTTTCTTTTCTACTTTCCTCTCCGGCCATGACAACTTCAACTAATTCTCAGTCTTTTCTTCTATTCTAAATTTAAGGGCATTTTAATGAAAGAAGATGTTGGACGTCGTCTTCATTATTTAGAACAGTCTAGGCTGAAGTAGAAGACACTTATTCATATCTCTCTCTCTCTCTCTCTCTTTGGTGTTAATATATATATGTGAGGGAACAAAAAAGGAAAAAAAGGAAAGAAAATAATATAATTTGAATAAAGTTGTTAGACCGACGAATCTCGGCTGAACCGAACCAAAAGAAGATTTTTACAAACATTAATCTCCGCTACAGAAACAGGGATCTGTAACAAGCGTCAACCTTTTTGTTCCAGTGTTATCAATATTCTCGAGAGGTAGAAAGGGCTAAAAATTTTGCAGATAGTGCTTTCATTTTCGGAGTGTTAGAAGTGATGATAAGAAAGGAGAGGAGATGAAGAACGAAATCCCCCGTTCTCTGATTCCTTTCAAAGCAGACGACTTACTCGGACCTTTCCAATCTTGTTCATCTTGCAAGGATAGCGCTTCGTTATTTTTTGTCACATTTCCTGCCAGAGAAAAGAAAATAGTACTCTGCTATCCGGTTTTTGTCCAAAGTTTTCGCGAAACTGTAATATATTGGCGAAAAGTATTAAAAATTTTTGTAGTGAGTCGAACATTTGAGGAAAGGTCCTTCTCTTATGACCCTCATTGGCAATCCTGCTTGATCTCCATGCTGTAGACAAACATTGTCTATTGTTTTCAACCTTCGTTTACATCAATCTTTGTTGACGATCAGCTTAAAGATATTATATTTTCATTTACGTATGTGTCTCATTGAGAATGGATCTATTTGGAAACAAGAAAAACAGGCATATATTTTGAAGATGTGAAATTATCACGTTTAGTTTTTTACATTGATGATCAACGTTGAATATTTTGCTTGCATAATTCAATTGAAAACATTATCTAAGTTCTACTATAGTTAGCATCATCGAAAGCATTCAATGGAATGTTCTATTTGCGATTGATGATACATGATAAAATATTGTTTAAAAAAACAATTTTTTTTTTCTTATTGTAATTTTAGATTGAATTATGGAATATCCGTCAACCAGCGGACACACCTTCATATAAAGTTCCTACACAAAGTGATATAGTGGATGTATGTTTAACTCGTCAACATTTATGTACGTTAGCCGATAATCAAGTTCGATTGTATAAATGGACATAATTATCTGTATTTTTTTTCTTCATCTGTTAACAATTAATTTATTATTATTATTATTTTTTGTTCAGATATGTATAGCGATTTGTCTCTTTCTTGAACATATTTGTCAGATAGAACGATTTTATATACATATAGATAAAATCATAATGTCTTCTTTGTTTTTTTTTATTATTGAGAAATAATTATTAGTCTTGACAATATAAGATACAAGTAGTAATGATTTTGTTTGAATATCACTAAGGAGTATTGTTCTTTTTTTTTTGAGTTTTTTCTTCAGATTTGAGATTTTTTTTTTTCATCTGAAAAAGCAACGGATTCTATTGTAGCTGAATGCGTTGATACAACTCTTTTTTCGTTCTGTTCTCTTGAAACTTTATATCAACAAAAGAAAAAATCTTCTTGACATCAAATAAAAACTTTTTTTATTTTAGATAGAAATAGTTGAAACAGCTGCAAGGATTAATAAGTAATCATTTAGTTTATTAATGAACAATTAATTTGTTAATTTTCTAGTTCAATGACTTTTAATTTACTTGTAGATTATATTAAATCCTTGATTTCGATATATTAAACGAATAAAGAAAAAATAAATGGCTGGACATAAAATAAAATTACAATCAAGTGATGGTGATACATTTGATGTTGAAGTTGAAATTGCTAAGCAATCGGCAACAATTAAAACAATGTTAGAAGGTACAGTTATTTTATTTTAGTTTTAGTTTTATATTAAAAAAAAAACAATTCTTGTATTACAGATCTCGGAATGGATGAAGAAGAAGATGTTATTCCATTACCAAATGTCAATTCTGCCATTTTAAAAAAAGTAAATATTTACGTTGAATTGACACTTAGACATAAAAGAGATTTCACATCATATATAAGTTAAAAAAAGTCTGTTGTTTTTATTTTTCTTTAATTTAACTACAAAATAAAATATATTGAAATGTTCAAACAATGAATTATTCTAATTATTGACATATAGGTTATTCAATGGGCAACTCATCATAAAGATGATCCACCTCCACCAGAAGATGATGAAAATCGTGAAAAAAATACCAATGATATATCATCATGGGATCAAGATTTTCTTAAAGTTGATCAAGGAACACTTTTTGAACTTATTCTAGTTTGTATTGTTTTTTTTTTATTTAATTCTTTTCTTTTTTTTCGGTTTTTATACCTATAGCAAAACTTCATATTGTATATATTTAGGCTGCTAACTATTTGGATATAAAAGGTTTACTTGATGTAACATGCAAAACAGTAGCAAATATGATAAAAGGCAAAACTCCTGAAGAAATTCGACGTACATTTAATATCAAAAATGATTTTACACCTCAAGAGGTTTGATTTATTTTAATTAATTAAATACAACTAAGATTATTTCTTTCAATAGGAGGAACAAATCAAAAAAGAAAACGAATGGTGCGAAGAAAAATAAACATACAAATAAACACAATATGACTATTTCTTGGTTTTTCTTTTTGTGTCATTTTTTTTTGTCTTCTACTTTCGCACACTTGAATACCTTAAAATTTTATGAATGCTTTCCTCATTTGTTTTCTTTTTCTTTCTGTACTCTATAACATTTATGTACGTATACCTTCTTCATATGTCTCATCAGCAAGCAACATATTACTAATACATTTTTTTTCTTATTAAAAAACAAAATCCTTTGAAAAATTCATTCAAGAAAAAATCTTTTATTTTTCTTTGAGATCATTTAAAAAGAATATTTGTAATATGAGAGAGATGAATAATAGAATTTTACAAACAAATCATACAAATAATACAGATATGAATATTCGACCGCCAATTAAAAATAATTTAAATGAACAATTAAAAATTTATTATGCTTATCGAGATGAAGATATACGAGAACGTTTGAATAATATGAAAAATCGACCTTTATCTGAGTGAGATTTTTTTTAAATTCATGTATTTTTTTTTGTCTTCGGAAGTTCTAAAATAAAATTTCTTCATATCAGATTAACTTTTCGTCATATTCCCAATGAACCACCAATTATTCGTCGTCATACAATTCCATCACAAATATTATCTTTGAATACAAAAAAAGATTCAATCTCTTTTACGAAACCATTAAACAACAACATAGATGAATCACAACAAAGTCCATCAAAAATTAATATTTCTCCTATATCATCATTACCAATAATTCATTCATCTTCGGATTATTCAACATTACATCGATCAGCATCTTTAACCATTAATCAATCTTCTTCTTCTTCTTTTTCTACTTCTTGTGTAAAAATTGAACGATCAGTATCAAATACAATATGTCCACTCTGTCAAATACCATTTGATACAACAGGTATTCATCGACCAGTGAATGATGCTTGTGGACATACAACATGTTTTCAATGTTTTAAAACAACAATGCTTCAAGCAACTGGATGTAGTTTATGTCAAAAAGAAGAAGAACTTAATTCACAATTATCAGATCAAAATTATGATTCAGTAAGTTTAAGTAAATTCTAGATATTGATTGAATAAAATAATAATTTCTTTTTCTTCTTTTAGACATTTAATAAATTTCAAAATAGTAATCAATCAAATGATTTAAATAATTTTGAAGATGCTTTTTTTGATGAATGGTCACTTGATCAATCATCTTCTTTAAAAAAACCATTAAAATTAATAAAAACTTTTGATGATGATCATGATAATTATTATAATTATGATGATACAGGTTTTGAAACATATGATCATATACCATCAATTGATGATAATGATGATGATGATGATGATGATGATGATGATAATGAATCAGATAAAGTAACATGGATATCAACTGATGTTCATGATGATGGACCAGAATATCGTGATAAAGATTTTAGTCATACAAAAACAATGTTAGAACGTTTTCATGCTTTATTTGGTTTAAGAAAATTTCGATCAAATCAACAAGAAGCTATTAATTGTGCACTTGAAAGACGTTATCATCTTTTTGTTCTCATGCCAACAGGTTAATACTTCAAATTTTATACAAATATTTATCACTTATCATATACAAGATATTGATAATGAACGATTGAGAGTTATTTATATACTTCATTGGAAGTCTTATTTTTTGGATCAATTTTTTTGATTTATCATGTTATGGATTTCTTTATTCTGATTAGATACGAGCAAGTAGTTTTGTCTTATGGCAATCTTAAAAGAATGGAGAATATAATTGAAGGTTTTATTCGATCTCGATATTCATTTAAAAAAAAAAGTTCGACAACATCATTAACAGAAATCATATTCTTGCAAAATGGTCCAACAATGAGTATATAGATAAAAATATTAGCTAACGAGAAAGTTTTATCAGTGACTATTACAATCCATAAAAGAGAAGTGATCCGATAAAAAAAATTTCAGGTAATTTCATGTAGCTTACAAAATCTCTTTAAGCCTTGAAGTTCTATATTTTTCCCTACGATAGACGATCGTACCTACTATCAGAATAATTACAATGAATTGGCCGATGCTGAGCTTTACATAAGACAAGTAACAATTCTCAAGAGTATACAATGACTTCATTCCTTTCAATTATGAGAGAGCTCGTATAAATGCATAGAAAAAAAAAGAAGCTTAATCTTTGAATAAATCTGTTTTGATTGACATGAAAATATTATTGACCTCAAATAGAGTTCATTTATGTTGGAATCGACCCTCGAAAAAATTGATCGATAATATGGTCTCTGCTTCGAATTGATATTATAGCTAAGAGTAAGATCTCTGTCGAACTAAGAAAAATTTATATCTATCATCCACTGATGAAGAGTTATCATCGTCATTATGAGCTCTTTGCTGCTAGCCAGATATATACATGCAATAAACACAATAAAAAAACCTTTATCTAAAACATTTTCTCTAGATGGATCTAAAATTCATTAAACTATTCGGCATATTTTCGAGTACATGATTTAGTCCTTATCGAAATATTTAATTTTAACTACAATGAGCATTTAACATAGATGCATACAATTGTCAAATTTATTAGAAAAAAATTAATACTTCAAGAAAGACAAATTCGTTTTCTTTGAAAATTTCTAAACCTTCTAAAAAACGATTCCATCTATCTTCAGATAAAATTTCAAATAAAAATTCTCTATTTGTATTATTTGCAGAAATACATTCTTGTGAGCACGATATCTATAGTGCATCATTAGTAATACAATAATGTTGAATCGTTTCAGGCTTACCCTAATGTCATAGTGATCTTCTCACAATGTTAATATTCAATCTCAAATGATATCTGTCAACTGAGATCATTCCTTCATCAGTTCTCGATATCTTATCAATATATACGATTATTTGTATCCATAATGATATTGATTAGCAAAGTAATTGAATATTTTTTTTCTTAATAGGTGGTGGTAAATCATTATGTTATCAATTACCAGCTGTTCTTGATCACGGAATAACTTTTGTCGTTTCACCACTTCGTTCATTAATTCTTGATCAAACACAAAAACTTTTATCATTAGGTATTCCATGTGCTGCATTAACTGGCGATCGAACACCAGCTGAAGCATCTGCAATCTATGCTCAATGTTATGCACCAGAACCTAAACTTAAACTTGTTTATATAACACCAGAAAAAATAGGACAAAGTGATCAATTAAATAAATTATTTTCACATTTATATTCAAAAAATCATTTAGCACGATTTGTGATTGATGAAGCACATTGTATTTCTGATTGGGGTAAAACAAAACAAAACAAAACTTTTCTTATTAATTTTGTATTATTTAGGTCATGATTTTCGTCCTGATTATGTTAAAATCGGTAAAAAAAAAAACTTATTTGTATACTATCATCTTAATTAATTTTATATAATTAAAGGTACATTACGAGATCGATATCCTAATGTTCCATTTACATTGTTAACAGCAACAGCAACACCACGAGTTCAACGTGATATGCTTCAACAAATGAAACTTGACAGACATTTATCTAAATTATTTATTCAATCATTTAATCGATCTAATCTTGTTTATAAATGTTTTGCTAAAGGAAAAACTGATGGAGCTTTAGCACGAATAGCTCAATTATGTTTAAGTGAACAATTTGTTGGAATGTGTGGAATTGTTTATTGTTTTTCACGTGCTGAATGTGAAAGAAGTGCTGCTTATTTAACAGAAAATGGTGTTACAGCACAAGCTTATCATGCAGGTTTAAATGATCAAGATAGAATTGATGTACAAACAGGATGGGCTAATGATGAATATCAAGTAACAGAAAAAAATTTTTTTGTTTTTTTTTCGTTTTGTTTTATTCTTTTATTCGAAAGGTAATATGTGCAACAATTGCTTTTGGAATGGGAATTGATAAACCAAATGTTCGTTTTGTTATTCATTTATCCATGCCAAAATCAATTGAAGTTTGTTGATTAAATGAAAAATTTATATTATTTTTGAATTTTGTTGTTGTTTTTTTTTTGAGGGTTATTATCAAGAATCTGGTCGAGCTGGACGTGATGGTGAACAAGCATATTGTTATCTTTTTTATAGTTATCAAGATTTAATTAAAACAAAACGTTTAATAATGGGTATGAATTAAAATTTATTTTAATTTGAAATAAAAACTTTATTTTCCTTTTTTTTGTCAGCTGAACAATCAGAAAATGAAACAAATGAAGCAAAAAAAGTTCGAATTGATAATCTTCATCGTGTTTACACATATTGTCTTAATAATGTTGATTGTCGTCGAACATTACTACTTGAATATTTTGGTGAACAATATTTATCAAATCAATGTAAAAAACATATTGAAACACGTTGTGATAATTGTTGTAATGTTGCTCAAACGAAATTAGTTGATTTTACAATATTAGCTAAACATATTATTTCATTAGTTAATCATCTTACAAGAAAAATGAAATCAACAACTATTAATCAAGTTATGGATATATTAAAAGGAAGTAAACAAAAAACTATTAAAGAGGCTGGATATGATAAATTAGAACAATTTAATATTGCAGAAGAAGTTCCAAGAATTAGTAAGTGTGTTGTTTTTCTCTTTAGAAAATAATTAATTTGATGTTTAAGATTTTCGCCCCAAAGACAAATAATGAATGATGAGATTCTCTCGAATCAAAATATTTGTTCATTTTTTTTTTAAGTTAATCAAAAGAGACAACTTAAATCAAAAAAATATTAAATTAGAATAAGAGTTTGTGATTTTTTTTGTAAATATTCATTCAGTATTTCTTTGAAGATGTGAGAATCTTCGAGTCTTTCTCATATAAATTCTGATTGTATGTTAATAGTTTGTAAATTTAATAGTCGTCAATAAATATGATTGAAAAACGAGAATAGGTTTCTTCCAGAATTTTTTTGCACAAGGTATTAGACAAATCTTTTTTTAGGTTATTAAAAAAATCCTTGGTCATGTTCGTATATGAAAAAGATCATTATAGAAAGCAACAATTTTTATGCTATACATAGGCAACATTTTGTTTTTGAGATTTGACTCTGTTCTATAGACCTTATTAGTTTTGTAAAAGTAATGACTTGATCTGAAACGTTCCTAGGAGATTTTGAAGAAAAGTAATGTTCCCTTTGAGAACTTCTCTAGATTTGACATGCCATTCTAATCATTACTTTTACATATTCTATATACTATTTGTTAATGTTGACAGTCATCATTGAAAAATCAAAAGACTTCTAACATTTGTATGATGTCAAATTTAAAGATAGATAATTGAAAAGCACTTTATTCTCATCTGCGAAATTTCTTTATTTGATTATAATCATTTTTTCCTTCGATAAACTGTTTAAGAATATCATCAAAATAGATTTGATTATTGAAAAGTAATAATGAATAGTTTCATAAGAGAATTTTTTTTCTCAATTGTCTGAATTTTATTAGTGACTGATGTCCTTGATCAATCATATTTGTCTTTATTTACAAAATCTTCTAACCTTATAATGAAGATTTTTTTCTGTATTTTCAAATAACAATAGTTAATTTTAGATTTAGAACGTCTAATATCAAAATTAATACTTGATGGTTATCTTCATCAAGATATATCCATAAATGATACATATGGTTCAGCAACAGGTTATATACGTCTTGGAAAAATAAATACATTTTCTAGTCCAATAACTTTATCGATTTGTCTGAAAAAAGAAAATCCAAATGTTGCATCAATAATATCAAATAATTCTACACGTAATCGTTTGGTTGATGCATGTCTTATGAAATTAAAAGATGAACTTAAATTAATATCATCACAATATAATATAAAATATTCAACAATATTAAGTGAAAAAGCTTTAAAACAAATGGCATTTATAATGCCAAGAACTAAAGAAGAAATGTTAAGAAAAACAGTTGAAATGACAACAATAAAATATGATATGTATAAATTAGATAGACTTTTATCAATAACTTGTCTATTTGGATCAAAATTAGATGAAGAAAAAGGAGAAGATTTAATAAATGGTGGTCTCAAACGAAAACGAGAAGCAATGACAACAACAACAAGTTCTTATTTTAATGATAGAACAAATATTTATTCAAAGAAAAAAAAATGAAAATCTTTAATATAGTTTTTTTTTATATTCTTTACTGTCACTTACAAAGATTGAACATATTTTTTTTTCTTTTTTTTTTTTATTTTTGATTAATAACAAATGATGGTACATATTTTTGAATTTCATTAAGAAAACGAAGATAAATAACTAGTGTTAATTGTTCATTGTTTGTATTTAATGTTGAAATTTCTGTTTTTAATGTATGAAACATTGATTCTCTATTTGATAAACACATCCTATATAAATCATGTAAAATATTTCCATTGATTTCAGAAAATATTTCCAAAAAAGGATTTAAATTTTTTGATATTAAAAATAATCTAATATGATTATTTGTCCATTGATCAATTTGAGATGGAAATTCACTTAATTAAATAAATAAAAATTATTACACAAAAACAAAAAAAACCAACCAATTTCAAAATGAAATTCTTACTTATCTATGGAAATTTCAATGGGTGTTTTTAGTAAAACAGAATCGTGTTGTTGATTTATTTTTGAATATTTTCTTTGACGATCAATTTCATTTTTTAATTTTATTTTTGCTGATTCAAAATCATATTTAATAAAATCAATTGAAATTTTTCCATTAATTAAACGATTTAACCAACCATCTGGACGATAATTTGACAAAACAATTAATGGAATTATTTTACATTGACGTTCATATGCATAACATGCTTCAGATCGACAAAAACAATTTTGTTTATATGTATCGGACATACACATTACAAAATATTCACATTCATCAATTATTTCACATTTTTCATCCATTGTTACTGCTAAAGTTTCATCTTGATCAATCCAAATACTAAAATTCTCTTTAAGAAGTTCATCATAAATACGAAGACATAAATCTTTATCGGATTGTGAAAATGATAACATAATATCATATTTATAATTTTTATCATGAATTTTTGGTTTTATAAGTGCTTGTTCTTCTTTTTCTAATTTCCATAAAATTCTTTCAATAATTTGTGATATTCCTTGATGAGATGAAGATAAAAAAGGTTTTATTTGAATAGAATATGTTTTAAGTTGTTCACAAGCATCTTTATTAAATGTAAGAGCCAAAAGAATTTCTAAAGCAGGTTGTTGTACTTGAAGAGGTTTAAAATTCATATCTGTTGCACAACGAATAATTAATCGAAGACCATTTTGTTTTGTTAACTCATCTTTAATTTGATCATATTGAATTAAATCTAATAACAAAAAAAAAACAAAATATTTCAATATAAGTAATTGTAAAATATTTTAAAACTTACTTTTGAGACATCGAAGTAAATTATAAAATCTTAATGTTTGATTTGAATCATCAATAATTTTATTAAGAAATTTAATAAAAAGATTTGCTATATTATTTGAATAATCAATATTTTTTGTTTCTTGTTCAGTTGTTATTGAAGAAAGAATTTTAAATGCATTTAATTGTATTTCATCATTTTCAAAATTAGTTAATTTTAATATTAATGAAATAATATGTTTATTTTGAAGATATTTTTCTAATTGTTTTGATAATGTCATTGTATATAAATTAGGTATTATTGTTCCAATTAATGAATATGATAATTTATTATTTATTTTATTATCAGATTGAATTAATGAATAAAGTATATTAATAAATGAATCAATAATTTGACAATAATTATCTAATATATCTTTATCAAGAATAATAAATCGATTAAGTTGAATACTAAGTGTTAATAAAAAACAAATTTGACGTAAATTAATTATCATTCGATTATTCCATAAACGAAATAATGATGATTGTTGAATTAACCATTGAGTAAATGGATGAAGAAGTGTTTGACGAATATCAATTAAACCTTGTTTATGTTGTTTATCTGTTGAATGTGAATAAATATAATCTGTACATGTATTTAATAAAAATCTTTGTCCAGCATCATCATTTTCTTGATTTAATGATTGAAGAAATATTTCAATAAATAATGATGAACAAATACATTTAATAATATTATTAAATAAATAATCTTTTTTATTATCAAAATTAATTCTTTCAAGACGTTGAATTGTTCGAAATAAATTATCCATACTTTTTATTTGAGGATCTTGTAAATATTTACCATTTGTTGATAATTCTTTAAGAAATTGATTTATTTCATTGAGAAGTTTTTCATGAAAAATTAATTCTTTTAATGTTGATATATTATTATCTGATATATGACTCGACATTTTTAGAAATAAATTTGAAATTGTTTCGAATATAAAAAATGATATATCATCAAATTTTTCACCAAAACGCCAATATTGTATAAGATTTAAATAATAATCACGTAAAATAAAAAAGACACGATGATTAATAATTGTAGGATCACACAAATTCTTTTCATTTGAATGAATTGCTAATTCTACAATTTCTTTCATCAAATACTTATCTGTTAGTAAGGTATTATTTTCGTCGATTTTTCTTATAATAAAATCAAATGATTGCTTGATTTGTTCAATACTCATTAAGTCTCCTTGTTCTTGTAAATGAATAGGTTGTTTTATAATATTTTCAAAATTAACTTGTGTTTCCATGATTTTGTGTTTAATCTTTCATACACTATTTGTACAATTAAGAAAAAGAAGAAATCTATATTTTTGTAGATGATCGTTATTTATTCGATGAATCCTATTTGTGAATGTTATTAATGTTCGATTTTCTCTCTTTTCTTTTATTTTAAATGAACTATGGATGAACATAAATAAGAAGACCTGTCGATAATGGATGTGTCCATAACTAACCACTGGTAAAAATAACACAAACAAATGGAAGAAGCCTCGTAGTAGTTCGTGTCTTTAATTGTTTGTATTTGAACAAGTAAATGCGTAATGCTTCTACTTAATACTACGTATTTATAGGCTTAATTTTCGATTACTTTCATCTTTCATTATTCATTTTACGTTAATATCTTTATATATAGCTACATGATTATCAATTATCTGAGTGAATCTCGATTGAATTCCGAAAAATACTTTTGAGAAATACCTTGTTCATGTTTTAAATTTTTTGCTTTTGTTTTTGAATCTATTTTGCAAAACTCGATCTTTACTACAAACTATTTTTCAAAAATCCTTTCGAATGAAAAAAACAACTGTATTTCAATCAATAATTTCTTCAATCTAAACTAAACCTAACTCTTATTTGATTTTCAAATGTTTTTAAGTTTCGTTCAATTAGCGTGTTCATATAATTCAATCATTTCAAAATATTGTTTCATTTTTTTTTAACATGATTCTTTATGCTTTTTTCTTTTAGAGTCTAGATAAACTAACAGAATTTATTGAATTAATCTGTATTTATCGATTCATAACATATAATACATTTTAATTTTATCACAAGAAAGTCATACTTCTGAAGAGTTAGCTCTCACCGTCAGTCAAATATTTGTTTTGATTCAAATATCTTTTGTTTAATGATAAGATATACAATGGATTTTATAGAAAAATCTTAAAAATGTCGGACAAATAAATCCTGGAAACTGTTGAAGTTTCTTTGTAAAAAGAAATCATTTTCTTGGATTTTTTCACAATTAATAAATGAGAATAGCATTCAACATTCATTTTTGATCACCAATATTATCATATTTATAAATAGAGCAACTTTAAATCTTACATCACAGATAGCGGCTACAAGACTGTGCTTCAACAATGAACTAATAATCGTCGACTGTTGTTAGGCGATATACTTATAAGTGAAAATTCACTTTCATCTTGAAAGACATCAGCGTACACATTATTTCTTTCCTTTTTATTGTATCTAGAATTTAGACATGTCGGTGATGAAATAAATATTTATAATATAAATGTCTATAAACTGTATCTTCATTCATATGATTTATCATAATTAATTTGAAAATTGAGGGAAGATTCTTCTTAACTTGTACACTATGTCAAAAAAATACTCGAGCGAATTAGTCAATTTTCCTATCAATACTGACTTAATAAAGATGATTTCTCTAGTGTAAAAATATTCAATTATAACTATTATTAACTGAATCACGAGCATAATATATTATTCATATCAATTGATTGATGATCGATTAGAATATTAATTAAAGCATTATGGCCATTATTATATGACATATAATATGATGCTTGATATTTATTCAATTGAAATCTAGTTTACTATTTACTTTAACTAACTGTTTGATCTCATGACCTTAAAATGAGACACATTATTTGTCAAAAAATAGATGTTATTGCAATGACATGTCATAATTATATATTTTGCCACAGTTTATGTAATAAAAATATTAGTTATTGAATTTCACGAAAACATCGTACATAAATACACATGTGCTAGTGGTTGATTAAATCTTTTTTTTTTTGGGTGAACATTTATTTGAAAGAGTTTCAATAAAATACTTTATTAATATTTCAACATTTCGAATAATTCAAATTTTTAGCGATTTTGTTTCCTTACGAAACCTTGTTGCATTGTTTCTACACGTTGTGTCAATAAAGAAATCTGTCTCCACGTAAAATCACGATTCAAGTACACATGCAATAAATGTCATACTTATACTCCTTTCCTTTTTTTTTCATATGTCTAGTAAAAAATCAACATTTGGCAGAGTAAATTGTGTTTTGGTCTTATCAATAAAACTCTCAGTTACCATAATTGAGTCGTACATATTAAAATACTAAAGGTAAGCCTAACAATCAAGTGATGGATGATGATAGTCCTTTACTGGATGATCACGATATAGTAGAACCTTTGCATGAACGTAATGGTAATAAATCAATCGAATCACTTCGAGAATGGTTTATATGGTCTTATTTAAATGTAATCTTAGGTTCAGTTATTTTAGGCATCATAGCCATTGGATGTTCATTACGTACTAACAAATTTAAAGAAAGAAAAAATTATGAAAAAGCAAAAAAATGGTCTTATATTACATTGATTGTTAACTGTTTAGCAACATTAAGTGGTTTAACTATTTCTGTATATCTTATCTGCTTCAAATCTCGTTTTATATAAATACAACAAAAACAAATGGTGACGAAGAAAAAGTAGTATTGGCCTTATCCATCCAAAATAAAAAAAACATCAGGATATATATATATAATTGATGAGGAATAATCAATCCTTGGCTTTAGTATTCTATGTTTGTTGCACTTGAAAATCTCTTTTAAGTCTGGTTTTAAGTTTATATAATAAAGAAATTAATGCTCTATAAAAGTGTTTACTTTATTTGTACATGAAATTTTTTTTTTTTGTGAAAATAAAATTCGAAAAAATAACTGCTATTCGATCCTCAATCTGCGGTTTCTCATTTTCTACACGTGTCCATCGTTTTTTTCCAAGTCTATTTTCGTTATGATCGATGCTGAAAATAAAGTATGTAATATCAATAGATAGAGCATTTTGTGCTCTAAATTTCTACGACATTTCAAAGTTACAAGCACTCTCATTGACTATAGGGATGTGTGAATACTGAGGGAGTATACCTCATATCCATCTGAACTGCGCATCTATGATTTTATTGTTGTAGTCCATGAGAAAAATAAGTATATTATGAAATTTTTTGAAGCATTTACTCATCTGAAAACTAGAGAAAATGATTTAAATACGCAAAATCGAGCTTCATTGAACTAAAAACTAAATTGAAAAAAAAGATGCGATTCTTCGCCGATAAAAGTAGTGCTAAGAGCTGACTAGAAATTATGTAAAATGTTTATCAATACATCCTTCAAATATTTTTCTTTTTAAAAGCACTCACCTAAATGCATTGAGAGTTGCTATCCTTAAACACTGAAACAAATATTTACTAGATAATGTCTGGAATTTTTTTAACGCTGAAACATTCAAAATAATCGTAACTTAAAAAAAGATCTGTACAAACAGATGTGGATTTCAAACAATTATCTCTACAAAAAAATCATACTTTTTCCTCAGGAATCGAACTTGTCGAGACGCATTGAAAAATAACTAATGATAAGTGATGAATTTTTTATTCATCTTTTTAATTTTAACTTACTAATAACTTAATATTGTACTTAAAATCGTTTTTACAGTAACGTAAACTACTAATTTGCATGCTTTTTTTATGATTTCAAATTAACATCGACATATAAATCGTAAGCTTTACATCGATCTGAGAGAAACGTTTCTTATTATAACTCGATCTAACTGAAGCTTGTCTTCAGTTTAGATAATCTAACAAAATATCGTTGATTAACGCACTGTTGAAGGACTCCGCATAACTTCATAATGATATTCAATAGCTTAACATGAAAAATAATATGTAATACAAGATGATTTTCTACAAGGTGAACGATTACATGATATACATATTAAGTGAGAATGTTTTTTCATTCAAGAAAATATTCAACAAATCACCAATACATGCAAATCTACAATTACTATACATGTGAGTAAAATATTCAAAAGTCAATCATATGTAAACGCAAACGATAGAGAATAGCATATGCAACTGCACGACATGTTCACTTTGGTTTCATTAATGTTAATCACATCTGCTTATTAACTTTCTGTTAAAAATTTATAAAACAACTAACAACACTATTTTGCATCTCTTAGTGAACAATCAAAAAACCTATAAATTATTAATACTTCAACAATAAATAGACGCATGTCTTCTTTTCAAATTAGTACAAATGATTAATCTAAGTTTAAAAATCATTTGTCGAAAAATTATTCCTTTGAGATTTCTCTTTCACAGCACTTTCTCATATCTAGAAAAGTAGCACATTTTATAGTCTGCATTAAGCATGTTTCTATCAAGAGAAAACAAATCTGCCGGATTTCTTCACATATAATGACTATATGAATGTGATAGTTTCTCGAAAACGATTAGAACTTCTGATTCTTTGATCTAGAAAAAGTTTTGGTGAAATTTTACAAAATATAGTTATTGCCAAAAACTGTCTTTTCTTGATAAACTCATGAATTTTTCGTTAACGGTTACCTTCACTTGATAGCGTTATTGAACAGTAACTATAATTTCCTTCCCCCTAGCATAGGTTGTGTGTCAAATATATATTGTAACAGTTAATTTTTGTTCTTTATTTTTTATAAAATTCGTAAATAATAATGGTAAGAAATCATAGCAAATATTTATTTTGACTGTAATTGACTGTCATCGTTGAGCACACACATTTTTTTCTTATTACAAAATTTTTTTTAAAACCGTATATTTGTTTTACAATATAGAACTCAAGTTATGACTTGTCAACAAGTCAAAATGTAGAATATCTTATAAAAGAAATCTATGAAAGATGAACCTTTACTATTTCATTCTTTTTGTCAAAAACGTAAATAATTATGATTTTTTTCTTATGAAAAAGTTTTTTCTTAGTTTATTGTGTTACGCAAATTCGCTGATCATCAATAGAAATGAACTCCTTTTATTACATTCTGGACATCACACAAAATATTTATATCCTTAAAGATTATGTCTTATCTATTCTATCAGATTGATCACATTTCAAATAAGCTGTGTGTCAAAAGTGTTGGTACAACATATCTGGCAAATTTTCATCTATTGATAAATCATTGAACAGAATCAAAAGTAATCAATTTGAACCAGAATTTCATGTTCTTTATAACTAAATATTCAGAACTATTTTTAATTTAAAAATAATTAATTTAGAGAAAATTTTTGACAGAGACCAAAAACGACATCTGTACAGAACTTTTCATTAGAAAAATGTTGCTGAACAAGATCATTACAATCAGCAAACTAGGATTTTATTACAGTAAAAGTAAAAAGTGTTACAATTCAAGTATATCAACAATATTTTCTTTCTGTTTTAACTAATAGAATAGAAGTCTGAATATTTCGACCATTTTCATAGTGATGACAGTATTACCTATATGGGTGTGGGTGTGGGATGGTGTGGTTGTGAGATGTGATAGATAAAATAAAGTACATCTTGATATTCTGACATAATTTGCATGGATCTTGACTGGGTTTATAGATGTGCAACCCGACCAAAGTGTCAGGTTCGAGTTACGTTTTCTTAGCCCGTGCATGTCTCTAACTGGGTTAGAAATGTTGGAATTTTATTCATAAATTGGCAACAATGGTTTATATCACCTAATATAGGTTTTTGAAACTTTTTGACGAAACAAATGTTGCCATGCGATTCAGCGTAATCGATTACTTATGTTTCCATCCGTTTTCAAGATTACCACGCCTAAAGAGATATTGATCCTGGGGCTCTCAGGAAAGCCGATGCTACACGTAAACAACAGCAAAATTAACCCAGGATAAAACATATGCAAGAAAAAGTTATGTAAATCGATTTATTTGCATCATTTTTTGCATGTTCTTTTTTTACTTGAGTAAGAAAGAGGTCGATCAGATCCAGTCTTATAGAAGACACCTTGGACTATCTATCAATGAAAAAAATCGATAGCTTACTATTTTAGTTTTGAGAGATACAAAGTTGTTTTCCAAAGAATATCTAAAATAAACTAGTCTTCAAAATTTTTTCGAAACCTATTTTTGCTTATGAAACATGGCTTAAAGCCTTGACTATCGAATGTTGAAAACTACACGTCAATATCTTGCGTCATTCACAAGTTATTTGGAAAATATCTGAGTCCACTGACTTGTTAAACAGACAGTAGTTAAATATCATTCAAAAGATCGTTTCAAACGTTGTGTAATCAAGACTTCACTCTTTAAAACAAGGAAAAGCCACGTCTTCAGATTCTGGGAAGATGGAAAAACAGCGGTCAACATTTATTGCAAAACTTATGTTCACTTCGTTATACACAAAGAGAGAGAGACTATTGACAGTAGAAGGATAATGACTGCGACAAATGTTCGAATAACTTTTGATAGAAACCAAATACTGACTTGTGCTTTTCACCATTCGAAAGAGGACACTTTGTGGTATCTTTTCATACGAAAACAGTTTTCTTATGTGATGATTGCATCATGATTCAAACATTTAACATAATCACGATTGTTGAAGAGAGTAGGCCAACCGTAGGCAAAAAACCAGTTTTGTAGTATTTGACATTGAAGGTTTTTCTAATAAAAAGCGAACAACTATGAAATAAATATGACTTACATTACTTTCTAGAGAAAATGTATGGTCAAAATAACAATCCTATGATTGCTTGGGTCATTCATTATTACTCATCTCATCTTCAACTTTTTATTATTGTGTTATTACTAAATTTAGAATATAAACTTATGATAAATTTTTCAAGCGGATTGTTAGTATAAGTCACTAAGGAGGAATAATTATCTATTAAAGTTCATCAGCACTGATCGTCATCTCGTAGTGCTGCATTCGTCGATTGAATTAATATCATTTGAAATTTTCGTAAACTTTAGTAGAGATAATATTGATTTCATTAGTAACTTCTTCTAACACTCCGCTTGAAACATTTATCAATAGCGAAATTTCCCAAGAACGACATCTAGTCTCTTAAAGGTCTTATATTGATGAAAAATATTTTTCGATAAAACTTATGTCATTCGACTCAGGTTTTGATGATGATTTCGCATATCTCATTAGTTTTGCATGAAAGTTGACATTTGATGGCGTAAATGGCACAATACAAGTGCATTTTGTTGTTCTTTGACATGGATTTCAGATAAAATCACTTTCCGCATCAGTAAAGCAATATAAAGAGAAAATCTTAACGTTCATTTATTCCTCATAGTATGACGGTTAGAATCAAATGAAAAAGAGTTTTTATCTCATAACCCTTAGAACGAGATAGATTTAGAAGATAGATATTGAACTTTACTGCCATGCTGCTCGTGTTCAACGAATCCCGAGGTCAGTTTAGATTATACTATATACTATTCTGATACAGTTTTTTCGCTTATCACGGATCTGATGTCAGATTTGAAAAAGTATGAAAAATGAGTGAAATATAAGCGATTTTGATAATCAGCTACGTATGCTTATCTACTTCGAAAAAATGTCTATCGAAAAATGTGGTCTTGGCATCGAATTATCCCATCAGTCGATAGTCCATATTCAGAAAAT